GTAGTCGTAGTAGGAGTGCTAGTAGTAGCAGTAGTCGTAGCAGTACTGGTATTAGTATTAGTGGCAGCGGCAGTAGTAGTAGTGGGAGTAGTAGTAGTAGTAGTAGTAGTAGTAGTAGCACTAGTAGTAGTAATAGCAGTCGTAGTCGTAGTCGTAGTCGTAGTAGTAGTAGTAGTAGTAGTAGTAGTTGTAATAGTAACAGTAGCAGCAGTCGCCGTAGTAGTAGTAGTAGTAGTAGTAGCAGTGGTAGTAGGAGTAGTACTAATAGAACTAGTAGCGCTAGTAGAACTAGTACAACTAGTAGAACTAGTAGAACTAGTAGAACTAGTAGAACGAGTAGAACCAGTAGCAGTAGTAGTAGTAGTCGTAGTAGTAGTGGTAGTAGGAGTAGTACTAGTAAAAGTAGTGGCACTCGTAGTAATAGTAGTAGTGGCAGCAGTAGCGGTAGTAGTAGTAGTAGTAGTAGTAGTAGTAGTAGTGGTGGTGGTAGTAGTAGTAATAGTAGTAATAGTAGTAATAGTAGTAAGAGTAGTGGTAGTAGTCGTCGTAGTAGTAGTACTAGTAGTAGTAGTAGTAGTAGTAGTAGTAGTAGTAGTAGTAGTAGTAGTAGTAGTAGTAGTAGTAGTAGTAATAGCCGTAGCAGTCGTAGACGCACCAAAAAGAACAATCGCAGCTGAAGCAGGGGTAGCAATAGCAGCGGCAGCAGCAGCAGTAGCAGCAGCAGTAGCAGCACCAACACCACCAGCAAAAGCACGGATTGCAACACGGAAAAATCGTAGTAGTCGTCGTTGCCGTCGTCGACACAATCAAAGTAGGAGCAGCAGTAGTTGAGATGATAATAATACGAATGCGAACCGAATAAATAGAAGTGCCCCCGTAGTAGTAATACTACAATCATGACCGTAGGAGTACGAGTAGCAACTGCAATCGTAATAGCAGTCGCAGTCGTGGTCGTAATCGTAGTCGCAGCCGTAGTTGTAGTCGCAGGAATCGTAGTAGATGTAGTTGCCGTAGTCATAGTAGCAGCCGTCGTAGTAGCAGAAGAAGCAGTACTAGTTGTACTCGTATGCGTAGCAGTAGTAGTAGTAGTAGCAGTAGTAGTAAAAGTAGCAGTAGCAGTGGTAGTTGAAGAAGTAGTAGTCGTAGTAGTAGTAGCAGTAGTAGTAGCAATAGTAGTAGTAGCTGTAGAAGCAGCAGTCGTACTAGTATCAGCAAGGGGGATACTAATAACATGCATAATAAGAGTAATACTAACAGTGGTGAACGCAATCGCTGTTGTAGCAGAGGTGCCAGTACATGTAGCAGTAGCAATGGAAACAGCAGAACCAGTACCACTAGCCGAAGCAGTAGCTGCAACAGGTCCAATAATAGTAGTCGCCGTTGTCGTCGTCGCCGCCGTAGCCGAAGTAATAGGAGTAATAGTGACAGGGGTAGTAGTAGTAGTAGTAGTAGTAGTAGTAGTAGTAGTAGTAGTAGTAGTAGTAGTAGTAGTAGTAGTAGTAGTAGTAGTAGTAGTAGTGGTAGTGGTGGTGGTGGTGGTGGTGGTGGACGTGGTACAAATAATGGTAGCAACGGCAGCAGCATTAGAAGCAGCAGCTGTTGTAGAAGAAGTATCAGGAACCATTCTAACACGTAGTACGTAATACGTGATACGCAGTACGTGGTACGTAGTGCATGGCAGGTCGTAGTAGTAGAAGGAGTAGTAGTAGCAGTCGTCTAGTAGTGGCAGTAGCCGTAGCAGCAATAGTAATAGTAGCAACAGTAGTAGTAGTAGTAGTAGTAGTAGTAGTAGTAGTAGTAGTAGTAGTAGTAGTGGTAGTAGTAGTAGCAGCAGCAGCAGCAGTAGCAGTAGCAGTAGTGATAGTAGTGGTAGCAGTAGTAATAACTGCAGAAAGTGCACGAATACTAGTAGTAATAGTAATAATAGCCGTCGTCCTTGGAGCAGGAGAAGTAGCAGTAGAAATAATGATACAAAACGTCGTAGAAGTAGTCGTCGTAGTAATAGTAAGAGGAGGGGGAGAAAGAGGAGTAGGAGTAGGAGTAAGGGTACGAATCGCAGTCAACAAAGCCCGCTCGTGCGAGTCAGATATGACATGCTCATTCCCAGCCGCCCTCCCACAACATAAGACACATTGCTGGCACAACCAGGGGCCGAACGCCCAATACACGTAGAAGTGGTAGTAGCAGTAGTAGTAGTAGTAGTAGTAGTCGTGCTAGTAGCAGTATTAGTAGTAGTAGTAGTAGTAGTAGTAGTAGTCGTCGTAGTCGTAGTCGTAGTCGTAGTCGTAGTAGTAGTAGTAGTAGTAGTAGTAGTAGTAGTAGTAGTAGTATTTGTTGTAATAGTAACAGTAGCAGCAGTCGTAGTAGTAGTAGTAGTAGTAGTAGTAGTAGTAGTAGTAGTAGTAGTAGTAGTAGTAGTAGTAGTAGTAGTGGTAGTGGTAGTGGTCAAGATCTGAATCGTAGCAGCCGTACCAGTAGCAGTAGCAGTAGCAGTAGTAGTAGTGGTAGTGGTTGTAGTCGTAGTGGTTGCGTAGTAGTCGTAGTCGTCGAAACAGTACTCGCAGTAGTAACAGTAGTAGTAATAGTAATAGTCGCAGCCGTAGTCGCAGTCGTAGTCTTAGTCGTAGTAGTAGTAGTAGTAGTAGTAATAGTAGTCGTAGTAGTAGTAGTAGTGGTAATAGTAGCAATAATAAAAGTAGTGGTCACAGTAGTAGCAGTAGTCGTCTCAGTCTCAGTCGCAGCCGTGGTCGTGGTCGTAGTCTTAGTCGCAGTCGGAGACGTAGTCGTAGTCATAGTCGTAGTCGTAGTCGAAGTGGCAGTCGTCGTAGTAGTAGTAGTCGTAGTAGTAGTAGTAGCAGCAGTAGTAGTAGTAGTAGTAGTAGTGGTGGTAGTAGACCTACTACTACTACTACTACTACTACTACTACTACTACTACTACTACTATACTACTACTACTAATACTACTACTACTACTACTACTACTACTACTACTACTACTACTACTACTACTACGACTACGACTACGCCTACGACTACGACTACGACTACGACTACGACTACTACTACTACTACTACTACTACTACTACTACTACTACTACTACTACTACTACGACTACTACTACTACTACTACTACTACTACTACTACTACTAAGACTACTACTGTTACCACTACTACTTGTAGTAGTAAGAATACGAATAACAATCATAATAATAATCAGAATCTTAGTCGTAATTGCAGTTCGCCCTTTTGCGCGGGGTGTGCTCCGCGTTCCTTTCCTGTCACGCATTTCGCGCTGTAGACCACAGGACGCCCATGTTAAGAGGGAACAGGAGTAGGCATTGTAGTAGCTGGGATGATAGTAGCAATAACAATACTGGTGGCACTGGTAATGGTAGCAGTAATGATTTAGTTTGCCGGCCTCCAATGCTTCGCATTATCGCATTCTCGGGCGTCCGTCATTTGAAGGTTTTGGCATTCTCGCACTTTGAAGCTTTCGTCGGCTCAAGATGGCCCAAGAGGCCTCCAAGATTGCTCCACGACGACCCAAGAGGGCCTCATGATGGCCTAAGAGGCCTCCACGACAGCATCAACATGGCCCAGGAGGGACCCAAGAGGGCCTCAAACTGGCCCAGCATGGCCTCCAGAGGGACGGCCTAAGATAAACCTCTGGACGGCGCAATACGGCCTCACGACGGCCCCAAGAGACCACCCAGACGGCCGCGAGGGCGCCAAGAGAGCTCCAAGACGGTCCAAGAGGGCCTCGACCCGGCCCAAGAAAACCCCAAGGGATCCGCACGATTTCCCCACAGTGGCTTAGGACAGCCCCGGGACAGCCCAAATGAGGTTCATAGGGGCTCGCCGAAAAGTGAAGACGAATGGTGTCAGATGTGACGGCCCTCATCCGCATCCTCTTCCTCATCATCCCCCTCCTCCTCCTCATCATCACAGGCCCCAGGAAGCTCTTCAGAGGCCCAAAGAAGCGCTTCAGAGGATCCAAGAGGCTCGTCAGAGGCCCCCAAAAAACTCTTCGGAGGATCCAAGAGGCTCGTCTGGAGGGCCCCCAGAAGCTCTTCCAAGGCCCCACGGAAGAGCCACGAAGCTCTTCAGATGCCCCACGAAACTCTTCAGAGGCTCCACGAGGCTCGTCATAGGCCCCAAGAGGCTAGTGATAGGCGCTTTGTCGGCGTGGGGAAAAGGTCTGGGCCTCTGCCTGCAGGCCCCCCCCCCTCTGGGTGGCGACATCCGAACCTCACCCCCACGAACCATCGAGCCTCCTGGGTCGATGGGAGGCGGAGGTGTGGTTCGGATTTCGCCACGTGTTCGGCGAATTCCGAACCCTACCCCCGCCGCCCACCGAGTTGCCTGAATCGTTGATCGGCGGGGGCATGGTTCCGATTTCGCCGCCGATCTGCGGACAGGCTACTCGGGGAAACACAGAAGTCGTGAGAAAACTCGCCCCGGGAGCCGTCGACCCCGCTGTTCCACGGTGCGTTCTTGTCCGAGCCGGGCCGATCTGCTCGAATGAGGGTCCTGGGCGCGCTGAGGCAAAGCAGGGGCGTCATGTCGTGATGCTCCGCGTCGCCCAGACTTGAAAGATCTGCCTGGCCGGGATCGGCGCAAGTGACAAGTCCCAGGCCCCCCCGGGTCATCAAAGCACCCTGAGATCCTGGCGTTCCAGTTTTTGCGAGCCGGGCGTTTTCGCCTTTCTCTGGGCCCCAGGACCGTCGCAGATCGATCCGAATCGAAAAATGACGCAGAAAGATAAGTCCTAGGGCTCCGGATGTGATGTTTTACGATGTTGCATTTTTTCGGTGCGTCGGATTTCAAGGAAGACCTCGGGAAGTTTTTGGACGCTTTCTGCCTCTGGAGGCCCTGGCCCGGCCCCAGGACCACCAAAAACGGCTCATGATGAAAGGCCTGTCCCGTCTGCATTGAAGGTCCGCGCTGCGAAACAACACGACGTCGCGGGGGCACGGGGTTGGCGTTCCCTGGGCGCAAACGCGCGCGTCGACTGGATGAGCGCCAGGTTGCGGGAGCGCTCCTCTCTGCTATTGGACGTCTGCGTCACCAGCGTGGCCGTCGCCGTGTCGGCTATGCCCGAGCCACCGCGGTTGACCAGATAGAGCGCGGAGTGGGCTGGCTGCCACTGGACCAGCGAGGTACCCGAGAGTCCCGCGCTGATGCCGAGGAGGCCCAGCGTGCATGCCGCGTGAGCGCCCACCCGCTTGACCAGCCTGGGGAAGAGCACCTGCACCAGGACTGCGAAGGCCGCCCCGGCGGTGAAGGTCGCGCTGAGCTGGGGCTGCCTGTACCCGAGCATGCGGGGGGCGAACAGGCCGTAGGTAGAGACGCTCAGCGTCAGCGACCAGCTGACGAACATCGCCACCAAGCGCAGCAGAGGCTGCGCGAGGAGGCCTTGCACGCCCGGCTGCGGGGGCGCAGTCCCCGCCAAGAACCTGGCGCGCCCGTCCGCGTCGTAGCGCACCACGGGCCTTCTGCCGGGCGCCGCGTCCGGCTCGCTGCGCCTCCGCTCGTCGGCCACCGCCAGCCGCGCTAGGATCTTCCCCTGCAGGGCGAGGATGGCGAGCGCGAACGCCGCCGACGCCCCGAAGGTGAAGGTCAGCAGGAGGGAGGAGGGCACGCCGAACCACCTGAGCGACGAGACGAAACGAGTCTTGCGCGAGAAGACACGTAGCGACCTTACGCGGCGGCTTGCGCGGGCCAACGGCGCGACCCGCTGTAGTCGAAACGAGGGCGCTCACGCGCGACCTTACGCGTGCAGCTTGCGCGCCAGCGTCCGCGCAGTCGACCCCTTTGTTTCGTCGCTCACCTCGCCGCGAGCCCACTCGGGGCCCCTCAGGGGACACGGGCCCTCGGGATACCCCCGGCGGAGGCAGCCTCCCGTGTTCTTCGGCCGCCGCTCGACGGCCTCGGGGCCTCGGGAATGGTCCCGAGAGAGGGGCCGAGCGTGGCAGAACGCCCCAGGTAGGGGGCCACATCCTTGTTCCTTATGATTATATACCCCCACCTACTTCGTATTCCTGCCGATAGCAACCCGATCCGGGACCTCCCATCCGGACTGAAAAAAAATCAATGCCAAATTGCAGTTTTTCTTCTCAACATCGTCTTTCTTGTCGTCGACGATGCGAAAAGCGTGGCAGGAATGGGACGCGGCGCACATCGCGCGCGGCAGTCAATCTTGGCACGCCCATCCTGACTGTAAAAAATTAGCCTGGCGAAGAACCCAACCATATGCAGCTGTCAGTACCGCAGCTGCGGGTTTCATCTTCAGTGGAACTCACCATAGGACCACGGAACGTGTGGAGGGTGTGCCGAGATGGGTGCCACTGGGGCATTCGGAGAAGCTCCCTATGGGGACATGAAACACGCGGGGGGCGTGCCGACATAGGTGGCAGAAACGCATTTGAGGGCCGCCGCTGGGGCCTCCAGTGGAGCTCCCTATGGGTCCCCGAAACATGATGCTGCTGCGGGGGGGGTGCCGGGATGGGTGGCGGAGACGCATGTAAGCGCCACTGGGGCCTTCGGTGGAATTCCCTATGAGGCCACGAAGCGCGTGAGCGGTGTACTGGGATGTGTGGCGGGGACGCATGTGAGCGCCGCCACTGGGGCCTTCGGTGCAGCTCCCTATTGGGCCACGAAACGTGTGAGGGGTGTGCCGAATTGGGTGCGGGTGGTGACGCATGCAGGCGGTGCCACTGGGGCCTTCGGTGGAGCTCCCTATGGGGCCACGAAACCTGTTGTTGTGAGGGGCGTGCAGGGATGGGTGGCGGGGGCGCATGTGAGCGCGGCCGCTGGAGCCTTCGGTGGGGCTCCCTATGGGGCCACGAAACGTGTGAGGGGTGTGCCGAATTGGGTGGGTGTGGGTGACGCATGTGAGCGCCGCCACTGGGGCCTCCAGTGGATGATGGGGCCACGAAACCTGTGAGGGATGTGCCGAAATGGATGTGCGGGACGCATGCGCATGTGAGCGCCGCCACTCGGGCCTTCGGTGGAGCTCCCTATGGCGCCACGAAACGTGTGAGGGGTGTGCCGAATTGAGTGGGCGGGACGCATGCGGGCGACAGCACTGGGACCTTCGGCGGAGCCCCCTTATGGGGCCACGAAACATGTGAGGGGTGTGCCGAATTGGGCGTGCAGGACGCATGCGGGCGGCAGCACTGGGGCCTTCGGCGGAGCTCCCTATGGGGCCACGAAAAGTGTGAGGGGTGTGCCGAATTGGGCGTGCGGGACGCATGCGGGCGGCAGCACTGGGGCCGTCGGAGGAGCTCCCTATGGGGCCACGAATCGTGTGAGGGGTGTGCCGACATGGGTGTGCGGGACGCATGCGGGCGGCAGCACTGGGGCCTTCGGTGGAGCTCCCTATGGGGCCACGAAACGTGTGAGGGGTGTGCCGAATGGGGTGTGCGGACGCATGCGGGCGGCAGCACTGGGGCCTTCGGTGGAGCTCCCTATGGGGCCACGAAACGTGTGAGGGGTGTGCCGAATTGGGTGTGGGTGACGCATGCGGGCGGCAGCACTGGGGCCTTCGGTGGAGCTCCCTATGGGGCCACGAAACGTGTGAGGGGTGTGCCGAATTGGGTGTGCGGGACGCATGCGGGCGGCAGCACTGGGGCCTTCGGTGGGGCTCCCTATGGGGCCACGAAACGTGTGAGGGGTGTGCCGAATTGGGTGTGCGGGACGCATGCGGGCGGCAGCACTGGGGCCTTCGGTGGGGCTCCCTATGGGGCCACGAAACGTGTGAGGGGTGTGCCGACTTGGGTGTGCGGGACGCATGCGGGCGGCAGCACTGGGGCCTTCGGTGGGGCTCCCTATGGGGCCACGAAACGTGTGAGGGGTGTGCCGAATTGGGTGTGCGGGACGCATGCGGGCGGCAGCACTGGGGCCTTCGGTGGAGCTCCCTATGGGGCCACGAAACGTGTGAGGGGTGTGCCGAATTGGGTGTGCGGGACGCATGCGGGCGGCAGCACTTGGGCCTTCGGCGGAACTCCCTATGGGGCCACGAAACGTGTGAGGGGTGTGCCGAAGTGGGTGTGCGGGACGCATGCGGGCGGCAGCACTGGGGCCTTCGGTGGGGCTCCCTATGGGGCCACGAAACGTGTGAGGGGTGTGCCGAATTGGGTGTGCGTGACGCATGCGGGCAGCAGCACTGGGGCCTTCGGCGGACTCCCTATGGGGCCACGAATCGTGTGAGGGGTGTCCCGAATTGGGTGTGCGGGACGCATGCGGGCGGCAGCACTGGGGCCTTCGGCAGAGCTCCCTATGGGGCCACGAAACGTGTGAGGGGTGTGCCGAATTGGGTGTGCGTGACGCATGCGGGCGGCAGCACTGGGGCCTTCGGCGGAGCTCCCTATGGGGCCACGAAGCGTGTGAGGGGTGCGCCGAAATGGAGGAGGGAGGAGGGAGGAGGGGGAGGAGGAGAGGAGAGGAGAGGAGAGGAGAGGAGAGGAGAGGAGAGGAGAGGAGAGGAGAACGCGGGGCGACGTCTCTTCAAAACGAATACCCCACACCACAGGATGGTTGGGAATCAATACAAAGTCTTCGCTTCTTCCTCTCAGCATGGCCTGCCTTGTCGCCGACAGTGCGAAATATGTGGCAGCAATGGAACGCGGCGCACATATGGGACGCGGCGCACATCGCGCGCGGCCGTCAATCCTGGCCCGCCCATCCTAACTGTAAAAAACATAGCCTGGCGGAAAACCCAACCATATGCAGTTGTCAGTACCGCAGCTGCGGGTTTCATCTTCAGTGGAACTCCCCATAGGACCACGGAGCGTGTGAGGGGTGTTCCGAGATGGGTGCCACTGGGGCATTCGGTGAAGCTTCCGATTGGGACATGAAACACGCGCGGGGCGTGCCGATATGGGTGGCGGAAACGCATGTGAGGGCCGCCACTGGGGCCTCCAGTGGAGCTCCCTATGGGTCCCCGAAACATGATGCTGCGGGGGGGGTGCCGGGATGGGTGGCAGAGACGCATGTAAGCGCCGCTACTGGGGCCTTCGGTGGAGCTCCCTATGGGGCCACGAAGCGCGTGAGGGGTGTACTGGGATGTGTGGCGGGGACGCATGTGAGGGGTGTGCCGAATTGGGTGCGGGTGGTGACGCATGCGGGCGGTGCCGCTGGGGCCTTCGGTGGAGCTCCCTATGGGGCCACGAAACCTGTTGTTGTGAGGGGCGTGCCGGGATAGGTGACGGGGACGCATGTGAGCGCGGCCGCTGGGGCCTTCGGTGGAGCTCCCTATGGGGCCACGAAACGTGTGAGGGGTATACCGGATTGGGTGGGTGTGGGTGACGCATGTGAGCGCCGCCACTGGGGCCTCCAGTGGATGATGGGGCCACGAAACCTGTAAGGGATGTGCCGAAATGTGTGTGCGGGACGCATGAGCATGTGAACACCGCCGCTGGGGTTTTCGGCGGAGCTCCCTATGGGGCCACGAAACGTGTGAGGGGTGTGCCGAATTGAGTGTGCGTGACGCATGCGGGCGGCAGCACTGGGGCCTTCGGTGGAGCTCCCTATGGGGCCACGAAACGTGTGAGGGGTGTGCCGAATTGGGTGTGCGGACGCATGCGGGCGGCAGCACTGGGGCCTTCGGTGGGGCTCCCTATGGGGCCACGAAACGTGTGAACTTGGGTGTGCGGGACGCATGCGGGCGGCAGCCTGGTGCCGTCGGTGGAGTTCCCTATGGGGCCACGGAACGTGTGAGGGGTGTGCCGAATTGGGTGTGCGGGACGCATGCGGGCGGCAGCACTGGGGCCTTCGGTGGGTCTCCCTATGGGGCCACGAAGCGTGTGAGGGGTGTGTGCCGAATGGGGTGTGCGTGACGCATGCGGGCGGCAGCACTGGGGCTTTCGGTGGGGCCCCCTATGGGGTCACGAAACGTGTGAGGGGTGTGCCGAATTGGGTGTGCGTGACGCATGCGGGCGGCAGCACTTGCGGCCTTCGGTGGGGCTCCCTATGGGGCCACGGATCGTGTGGGGGTGTGCGACGTGGGTGGTGCGGGACGCATGCGGGCGCAGCACTGGGGCCTTCGGTGGGGCTCCCTGTGGGGCCACGAAACGTGTGGGGGTGTGCCGAATTGGGTGTGCGTGACGCATGCGGGCGGCAGCACTGCGGCCTTCGGTGGGGTTCCCTATGGGGCCACGAAACGTGTGAGTGGTGTGCCGAATTGAGTGTGCGTGACGCATGCGGGCGGCAGCACTGGTGTTTTCGGTGGGGCCCCCATATGGGGCCACGAAACGTGTGAGGGGTGTGCCGAAGTGGGTGTGCGGGACGCATGCGGGCGGCAGCACTGGGGCCTTCGGTGGGGCTCCCTATGGGGCCACGAATCGTGTGAGGGGTGTGCCGACTTGGGTGTGCGTGACACATGCGGGCGGCAGCACTGGGGCCTTCGGTGGGGTTCCCTATGGGGCCACGAAGCGTGAGAGGGGTGTGCCGACTTGGGTGTGCGTGACGCATGCGGGCGGCAGCACTGGGGCCTTCGGCGGAGCTCCTATGGGTCTACGAAACGCTGTACTGGGTGGGTGAAACGCAGGGAAGAGGGGGAGGAGGGAGGGGGAGGGGGAGGAGGAGGAGAGGAGAGGAGAGGAGGACGCGGGGACCGTCTCTTCAAAACGAGGACCCAACACCACAGGAT